CAGAAGGAGAAGTGGAGAGTCTGATGTAGGACGTGATCCCAGTACCTGAGCCGAAGGGAGATGCTTAACCAACTGAACCACCCAGGCATCTCTTCATTTTACTTTAGAATTAAATATTTCAGGGGGCGCTTGGGTGGCTCATTTGGTTAAGCATCCAACTCTTGATTTTGGCTCAGGTCATGATCTCAGGGTTGTGAGATCAATCCTTTCATAGGGCACTGTGCTGGGCGAGGAGCCTGCTTAGGATAAAGAATTAAATATTTTATTTCAGTTAGAGAACACCACTTACCTCATCCCCAATAAAAAGAAATAACCATTTATTTTCCTTTCTTTGAAACAAATGATTATATAATGTGAAATTTAGCAAATGCTCACACTGAGAAGCACAATAATATTCTTTTTTTAAGATTTTATTTATTTGAGAGAGAGACAGAGAGAAAGAGCACGAGTCAGAGAGAGGGTCAGAGGGAGAAGGAGAAGCAGACTCCCTGCTGAACAGGATGCTGAGGACCTCAGGACCATGATCTGAGCCAAAGGCAGACACCTAATTTACTGAGCCACCCAAGCACCCCAGAGAAGCACAGTAAAATCCTTAATTAACTAGTCTGTTCCCTTCACCAGGCTGTATCATCAGAAAGATAAAGAATTAAAATGGCCTAATTTTTAAAAACAGTAACTGAAAAGAAGAGAATATTTTTGCTGTCAAGTACAAATGGCATTTGCCACCTTCTCCCAAAACAACTTAGAGTATTTAGCTTATCAAATTAAATCTGTCCAAAAATGCACATGCATCACCTGATGGAGATCCTAAAGTTTTGGGCTGCTTGGTTCTCAGCATCTTGCCATCTGGGTCCTATTTCCACTGTACTGCTGAAACTGAGTTTGACAAAGTCATCAACTGCCTCTTGAACACTAATATCTTCTTGAAATGAACGTTTTCCTTGGTGTATCTCTGGATTCTCTCCTAGGCCCTCCATTTATATATTCTCCTTGGGTGATTCCATATATTCATTTCATATGTTCCATGACTTCAGTCATGTTTATGTTTTGAACCATATGTTTATAGTCCAGATACTGTGCTGAGCATCAGACTTTTATACTCAATTTCATGTTAGGTATCGCCATTTGGATATCCGATCAAAGTCTCATACCCAGCATTCCCAAAACTGAATTCATATTCCCACCCACCACAGACTGCATCTTCATCTGTTCTCTGAATTTCAATGAATGCCATCGATCAATCTTTCAGTTGCTTAAGCCGTAACCTTCACAGTCTTCATGACTGCCTCTTTCTCCTTTCCCCAACACCACAATCAATTACCAAGTCCTCATGATTCAGTCTTTTATATACTTTTAAAATTATCCATGGTATATACTACCTCTATTGTTTAGACCATGGTCATCTCTTGCTTGGATTATTACAAAAGAATCCCAAATGGGCTTTCTGTATTCAATTTTATCTTTCTTC